AAATGAATATTTGTGGCTTAATAAGTTTGAGTCAGAAGTCCCTATAAAATGCATATTTTAACTCCTTTGTCATTCATGATGTTTTTATGTCCTTTATATATATACCATCTCATTGGTTAACCTAGGATCTCTTTTCATTTTAACCAAGAACCAACGATTTTTGCAATAGATTTCTGTCCAGTCCAAAATTTCAATTTATAAGCTACTTTAAAAGAGATGCATTTCAAAAAAATTCCTTTCAACATCCTACACCCTTTTAAACATGTTACCATGACAATACTCATGAATAAGCCCACTCTTTACAGAGCCACCTTTATGGTAATATATGCAAAATAAATTCACAAAACTTTTGTAAGAATTGAATTTGCTATGTAATCAATTTTCCATTTTTCTGTCTGTTATAAATGTGATTACAGATCTATAAAGCTGTTATTGTTGATCAATATACTTGAAATAAAGATGTAACAGGTTTTATTGTGTAACAGAAAATATTCATTGTTGGTGCCTGTTGAAGCTAAATAACCAAATATATATACTTTCCAGAAAATATAAATACTTAAGAGGGAAAAAAAATTGCAAATACAAAGGACCCACATCTCGAGAAAAGCAACCCTTAATGTATTCTTTTCAAATTTTTTGTTTTATAATAATCAGAATGACTCTATTAAACATGTTTGCAGGTGCCTAACCCTCCTCTAACCTGGGACAGTGATTTAACAGCACAACATAAGAACAAACTGTAAAAATGAGTTGAAAAGGGCTTAACTGTTTTGTGAAGGATCATATTTGTTTTAAGTATAATGCCCCTGGGGACTTAATTTGGAAAACAAAATATCTTATTTTATCTTATCTAATCTTTAATGGGAATTTTTACAACTAAACAAACTCTCAGAACATTGAAATAGACAATGACACAGCAATGAATTCATGTTTTTACCAACCGTCTAAATAATTCAAAATCAATCAAGATTTCCTTAAGTTTAAAAACACTTATATTGTCAAATAATCAAACAGTTAGTTTACCTTCCAACTTTTTGTGATATTTGGTCCGATAGGCCAGGACCTCCTGTAGATGGGGTTGGCAGTAGACTTATGGATTCTACGCTTTACCACATGATCTATCGTGTGATGAGAACTCGTCATTTTCTTTTCAAAACTCTCTCATATTTAGTCATTTCTTTAAAAGTTATAGTCTCCTTGACAAGACTTTCATTATGCACTGCATTACTTCTCATGCACAAATTTTCTTTAAACTGCACTTGATAAGGAAATTCCTTTTAAATCCTTCCTCCCTTTCAGTCTCAGACATTGGACTTTACCACATAAAATTCTTTTCATTTCATATTGTATCGAATATTATACCAGACTCTAGTATTTCACAGCTGAGACCGTCTATTAACTTTAATAACAGTATGTCCCCTTCATAACTTTCAGACTATTTTACATTAAGTCTATTAACTTTAATAACAGTATGTCCCCACCATAACGTTCAGACTATTTTACATTATAAAGTCATACCTGGACTCGGTACAATGATTTTTTACCTGCTTCATTTCACTAACATGATTGACAAGGTGTTTGTTACGTTATAAAACTTACATGGTGTTTCCTATACAAATTTTATTAACTTTTATTTTGATGATGGCTTGTAATTTGATGTTTAAATACAATTCAAACGTTTTGATGATAGGATCTTTGTAATGAGTGACCCGTAGATATCAAAACTGAGGTCAGGAATAAATAATCTTATATTGTATTGTATTGTTAAGAACATTTTCTACATCAAAGTCAATATGGATTTGAGTACATTGAAATGGAAATACTAATTAAAAATCCATACAATACAACAATTCTTACATTACAATAAATGAGGCACATCAAGTAGGAAAATTTTAAAATCTATTAGCAAACAAATTCTTTATGAACACTTCCTATATGCTGCTCAGATAAGTTCAATTATTTCATCTGGAGACATTGAGAGGGTTATATGTAAAGGGAGTTATTTGCAAAGAATATAAGAACATGAAATAAATGAGCGATAAAATCAATAATTTTTAAAATATACCCATTTGTAAGAAATATAGCAAATAACAATTTATCATTGCCAGCAGGATAGCAGGTGCAATAACACTGAATAAAAACAGTTATATGACATATTCTTATATGGAACATAAAAATATAAAATTTCCCCAATCATTGCAAAAAGAATTTTTGAAATTTTTGAAATATGGTACATATTCACACCTACATAAAAAGGGCACAACTTATCAAATATGATAGTTAAAACTGTAAATATTCAATTCGACCTGTGTTTACCAGACCTTATTAAAGTTGTCATATTTTAGGGTTTGTTCTCAACTTGATGAATGGTCCTTGAAAGAAGAGATGCACTTTTTCTTACCTTATTTTTAAAAGACATCACTGATATTTTATTATCCAAGACAAATACATTCTGGATATGGTGTATTCCTGCCCATCTGCTGCATAATTTATGATTAAAAAATCCTTGTTTTATTTTTATCTTGAAATCCTCAAGTTTTATTGTGATCCTTTCAAAACGTCAATGACCTTTACATGTTTAATGATCTCTCTATTTTGAGCCAATATATACATATATAGTATCCTAGTTGAAATATTGGCATGATTGGAAGGTAATGGTCCAAAATCTTGCTGAAACTGCATATATCTTGTACAGAATAATCGATATTGTGCTGACCTATGCCAAAAATATCACAATAGTTTCTAAACACAAAGCTATGCTGAAATAACTTGTAGGCCATTAATCAAGATATACTAGTTGATTAATCAGGCTAACAGTCCCTATGTTTGTCTCACTTTACACAACCTAAGGGTTTTAATGGGTTCATTTCTTCACATGCTGTCTGTAATGTGTTTAACACCTTTGAAAATTACCTCCAGGGCTTTTTCTATGTTTTTTTCAGTCCTTGAACACTTCAACTTTTTGTTCACGAGTCCAGAATTATCCTAGGCCATTCACATATAAATTTCTCACACTCTTTTAATCTTTTAACAAAACAGATTTAAAATTGTCAGTGTTTAATTTTTTTCATTGACTGTTATTTCTGTAAGGTTCTGTTTCAAATGTTTGTATAAAGAAGACAGGTCTTTGTGGTGAACACTGCTCAATTTCAGTTTTGACCTTAACTAACCCATTTAATATCAGTTGGGTAAATATTTATTTCTTTTCATTTTTCAAACTGACACATTAAGCACCTCCTGCCCAAAGGGCATCTAAATTAAACAAAATAATAAAAAATCAAAGCAAGGATATTTTTGTACCAATTAAAAAAAAATAGTTTAATATTTCAACATAAAAAATTAATACAAATTATCAATATAATAATATTTAAATGGCCTATTATTCAAAGTTGAAGTTAATCATAAAATTAATTAAATTAAATCTAATTTTAATCTTAATTTAATATTTTTACCTGAGTCCTTAACCTCATTGTACCCTGGCAAAATTCCTTCTTCTAAGTTCTAAATGTTTTATCTCGGCTTTCATGTAAGGTTTTTAAAAGAGTAAATTTGTGGTTCAATTTCCTAACCTGGTTATGCTAAAAGGTGTAGTAAGTCCCTGACACAGAACAACAGGAAATGTCACCCTGGACTATAACTGACAGCCATAAAAACCAATTTACCACAAACAAGAGACTTTTGTATGCTTTTTATCTTCTATTATAACCTTATCTGGTTAACACAGGAAATCAAAATGTGAACTTCTTAATAGGTTTTGGGTTTTTTAAATATTGTTTAGTTATCAGTTTTCATAGAAAATTCTAAGATTATAAAAATTTGACCACAAATTACCCTATTTAAAATGTTCATTTCAAATCCTGCATTCTTGTACAAAATGCTATAATTTTTAAAAAATGTCCCCCCAAAAATCCCTTCAAAACCATTTTCATGTTCCTTATGATATTTTTTTTTTAATGAATACCGGTAAATATCTGTGGGAGTATCAACAGGAAAAAGAATCAATTTTTCGTGAAGAGTTATGCTTTGATTGATTTATTAACAGGTTCTTAACATCCAGCAGCCATCATTTTTAGGATTATGATGTACCCAGCTTGTACTTTTCCAACACAATGTCAAAATTTGAATGTGCTAGCTCCCAAGTCCACAGAGTCTAAATGAACTTTAGGATAGCTTGTATTTGTGAGGAAATTAGTGGAATCGCTGCTGGTAGGTGGGAATATGATGTTTACAAATACATGTGGCCAGTATGGTTGTCCCAGAATTTTTATTACTGGGGACATAGAGTATATAAAATATTTGCTACTTTAAATTTTTTATTTGACCATTGCAATGTTACAAATTCATTTTCCTTATTTCTATTCTTTAAGTTATTCAACTCACCTTTACAAAGGAGATTAAATTTGAAGTAAAATAAAAATTCCATAATAATTATTGAAGATAATCTTTAACCAATCAGGTGACGACATCATCTGAACAATAATTAGTTTTAGTTCCATACATGTTCAGTTTACCAGGAAATTTTCACAACGCTTAATAATCTTCCACGGCAATAAAACTGTCACAATTATGTAATGCAACAGAGGTGGGGTATAAAAAATAAATAAAATATAAATGAATTTTTCATGCTGACCCATATTTCAGTCTAAATGCTTTTGCAAAATGACAAGAGGAAATCTTTTTTATAGTTCTTAATCATCAATGAGAACTGAACACCAGTATCATTGAAAGGAAAACTTGAAAACCTCTCCTGTATCATTCTCCTTTCATTGTTAATAATTCTGATTCACTGAAAAAGGAGCTGATGTTGAAAAGGACATTTGTAGATTTACTTTACAAAAGTTAACCTAATGATACCTCATAAAAAGATGTGTGCAAAGGTTCCTGAATAGAACACTCTCACAGATTCAGACTTACTTCTGAGTGGGCCTTGTGCCAACTTACTTCTGAGTGGGCATTGAGCACTTAATTCTGAGTGGGCATTGGGCAAATCTATGACTCACCTTTGATGTACTGGGACTGAATAGATTTGTCAGCTTGCTCCTTTCTTTGATCCGTTTCCCTTCATTATAGGTCCCACTTAAAGTTCCCTGTGGACTGACTGACTGTGACAAAGTCTGTGGAATTGGACATGTATCATCTATAGATAGATTTATCCCACGTCTGCTCCGTAAACTTCCAACCTTTACATAAAATACAATAATTAATTATTTATCTTATATTTATATATATACACATAAATTTCTCTTAGATCTAAATTCATAAATATCTAACCTTTAAGTTAACTTTCAATATTCTATTTCTGTTGTATAAATCATGTTGGATTAATTTTTAATATTTGACTTCTGTTGCATAAATCAGATTGAATTACCTCCCTTTGAAAGAAAATCAACAAGAAGGATAATATACATTCAATGAAAAATAAAACACATTGTAAACATTACTTTCTCTCATAGATTGATCATTGTTTTCACTTTAAACAAAAAGAAGTTTATTGTGTAATATAATAGATTTGGTCATTGTTCATTTCTATGCCCAACAAAGTTATTTTTTCCTTTTTAAATGTAAACGACCAGAAAATATATTTTATGTAATAGAATTCATACAGATAACATTGAAAATGATTGAACATGTTTGGCCTTAAATTATTCACATTTATGAAAAACAAAATCCATAAAGCTGAAAAAAATCAGGATACAAATAAATTGATAAAGTGTATAAAACAACTATAGATTTTTTAGAAACAGCAGGTAATTAGGAATGTCTCTATATATATGGGTGTCATGTAAATATCTATGGTCACATTCTTAAATCATTAACTATTACTTTACTGGCAGGTAGATTCTAAAATACAGTAGTAAATAATTAAAGTGAAATATATGGCATAAAAATATCTAAGCACAAGCTTTCCTTTTATATAATATAAACTTTATACATAGAAAGAGACCAAAGGCTTTGTAAGAAATGTACTCTAAATCTGGTTGAAGATGAACAACATTTTATTACTAGTTGTCCAGCATACAATAATGATAGGGAGATATTTTTCAAGGAGATAAACTGTATCTGTCCCAATTTTATATATCTTTCAAATGAGGCAAAATTTGTTTGGTTATTTACTAATGAAAATTTGTCTATACTTAAATATTTAGGGAGCTTTATTATTACATGTCTAGATGTTAGACGAAATGTTAATTAATGTATGTAATGACAATGATAATTGTAATGATTTTATACTTCTGATCCTGCCTGGAATTAAATGTATGTGATTTTTTATAGAATGAAGATAATAACATCTGTCTGAACTTTTTAATGTTTCATTTTAATATATAAAAATGTTTTTCTGTTACAAATCATGATGTATTGTTTTATGTGTACATGTTATGCTGCCCATCAAGGGCCCTTGATTGGAATAATAAAATATTCTTATTCTATTCTATAATCAGAAGTTGTTTTTCTCCTACTGGACTACAATTCATTAAAACACTTTTATTTAAGAGTACAATTAACAACAGATATATTGTTTACTTATCATACTCTACTCATTGTATTAGATTTCATTATTGTCATAGAACGACTTCAATTAAAATCTTAATTTTCACCATAAATTATGCAAGGCCACACCAATTTAGTTCTTTGGAATTTGGTGTACAAAGAGAAGAGCAGGCGATTGCAATGAAATCTCCTCTTTCTAAACATCCAAAAGATGTGGATTGTTAAGAGCAGGCGATTGCAATGAAATCTCCTCTTTCTAAACATCCAAAAGATGTGGACTATTTTTCAGCAGTATAACAAATCTAACTTTACTTTTAGATAGGAAAGGACAATATTTTTTGTTCGTTAATTTCCTTTCAAATGAAGAAATAGCGATTAAAAATTCAGTTGTCAGTTTCACAAAAAAACTTACGACTAAGATTGATCGTAAGTATACTGAATTGTTCATGACTTACGATCAATTTTAGTCGTAAATTTTTTTGTGAAACCGACCCCTGCCTTTTTACTTCTTTAGAAAGTGTAATTCGCTCTTTTTGAGATTTTATCTGTGAATCATCATCTGTCAAAACTAATTTGAACAAATCCATTTAAGAACTAAAAGATTTGGTGCAGCAACGGCCTGTTGTTAATCATTAGATCATTTTTGTATTAACCATTAACCCATGCCAACATACAGACAATACCTAGACAAGTTTTAACAAACACATTATATACACAGATGTTCCTGTAACATGCTGCCATAGTTTTTTTACAATACATACTGGTACAAAAGTTAAAGATGTCTGAAAATACATTCTGTACAAACTCATGGTCACAAAAAATACAAGCTAGAAATCAAATAAAGTAACCTGGCCTTGCGGTCATAAAACTTTCAAGCACGATAATTGTACTCTGACTCAGAAATCAACCAATCAAAATACTGGATTTGGTGTTTCGAGCACAAATTTTGTACTCCGAGTACTGAGTAAAGTTTTATGACCGAGAGCCCTGGTTCTCAGGCTGATTAACTGCTTTGTTCTGAATTTTATCCAAACTTTCGAAGGTAAAAACAATGCATTCTACTGAGAGGCCATTTTTAGTGATCTTATCTGCTATTATAAAATTTCTATGAAAGTATCACAGTGGCTCTGAAGTTTTGAAAAAAGATAGATTTGCTTTGCTCAGGATAAATATAAGACACTAAAATTACCAATTAATGGAACTACTCATGGTAGCTTAGACATCATGACATGAAATGAACATGACCTTTTCTATAACGAAAATTAAGATAATAATTAGAACAAAACAGTTATTCCAGCCTCAGTCATTCATTGAAAACCACTTAATTGTCAACTGCAAGATGCTGTTCAAATACATGCTGGCTTTCTAACCCAGATTGTCTCCTGTCTGTTGTATTAAATCTTGTATATTAATATTAATCATTAATTTTAGCAAATAGATTCCTGAGACTACAAACGGACGCTAGCTCTATAATTTAGCTGTACTTTAATATGGACTTGCTCTTAAGGGTGGGTTTACAATGGGAATGCTATATACACCAACGCATGGCAAAGCAGAATCGTCTTTCATTTGAGCCATTTTTCTGCCCTTTTCATACAACAGGCTGTGACAATTTCATTTAAACACATTTTTAAAAATTTTCATCCTACAAAAAGACTTGGAAAAATAAATCAGTAATTTTGGAATTTTCATATTTTCCATTTATAATCATAATAAGGGAGATAATAATAAAATTGCATTATGCTAATTTATCTCCCCTTGTAATAATCTTATAATTGTAGATTTCCCCCCTTTTTACTCACCCAATTCCATTTAAAATAAAAAAAAATTTATTAGGGTTTAGAATGAGCATTAGTCATTACAATTATAGATAATTATGAATATAAATTTTATAAACACCAATTTAACCTCGTACCCAATAACCTTCTTTGCCATGCTTATGTATGGTTTATCATATATAAAAGATTTAAGACAGAGTTTTTAAGTAGTTAAATAGTTGGACTATACTTCTCAACAGACATTTCAGCATGAACACCAATTATACAATAACCATGCAAAGTGACATTTCAGCAAAAACATTTTGACCCGAAAAGAAAAGAGTTGTATATTTTACCTTGAACTTTCCTTATTATTGGATTTATGAGATAAGAACAGCAGCAAACTACTGTTGACTCTAATTTATACGGAAAGTTTTTCTGATAATTATCTTTTCAAGATTTTATAGTAATTTAACAAAAGAATTATATATTTATAAAGGTGTTGCAATTTATAAAGTATTTAGTTATTCTAAAATTCAGAAACAAGACATATGCAAAAGTTTTTGTTAAAAAAATAATGCATGTAATTCAAATATTTTATCAAATTAAAAGGAACTATAAATATTTTCAATACCAAAGAGAGGCTAATCTATGATCCAGTCAGACTTCTAGATATTTATAGTAAGTCTATACAATCTAACATTTAAATTAAAAAGCAGAAAAAGTCGCGGTGCCTATTCACTCTTATTCTTATAGTGATCTACAAACACAGAAAATCAGTGTATATCAGAGTTAAAACAAAAATAGAGATAGTTGATGGGTTCTAGAAGATTATAACAATTATCTAAGCTTAAAAAAAATTCCATATAAAAGTTTAAAGAAAGCGAATTAATTACTATACGTTCTGTCAGTGAGTGTTTATGCTGAAAATGCTGTGAAAATAAGATACATCTATACAAGGGAGTTTTGAATCTAACCATATATCTCATATTTCATGTTATCATTTTGAAACCTTATAATGTTACTGTCAATTCAGAAATTATTGTGTACATTTATTATTGTGGTTTTAGAAAAAGCTTCATATATATGTATCATATATCAAAATGCCAGTTCTTATTATTGTGATACTCAAGGATAAGCAATATTCGCATTAATAAAAAACCTCGCATTAATTTCTAAATTAACAGTATTCAATTATTTTCGTGAATTGAGGAAAAATTGTATTTTCGTGGATACTTTTTTGTTTTTGCCAAAGTTCGTGGATTGAGGAAAAGACATTTGTTTGTTTTTGTTTTTGCCAAAGTCAGCATACAATCTTATAGAATATTTGTACTTTGTGAACTTTGCACTGTGGTCTACCTACACCTACCAAAAACAAGGACAATTTGTATCCCACAAATATAATGAATTCAAAGTAATAAATAAAACAATCAATTACTTGTTAAGGTAATGAGAGATTTTTAGCATTTTATTCAGGTACTGAAAGTTTAAAGCAATTTATCAAGTTTCCAATTACTAAAATGAAATGTTAAGCTCTGTTTTTCTAAACAATTTTGTTTTGTGTTCTTTCATTTTTTAAAAATTTTGTTCCTTTAATTGTGAAATATGAATGGATAAGATATGGTTAAATTCAAAACAAAGGTAGCGAGCATCATTAAGAACCAAGAAAATTAAGTAGAGGAAAATGATGTCAGGCAGTTATGTTTGCCCAAATCTTGTCCGACTTACAGAGCTTCCATCATCCTGCGCCTTCAAATCTTCATTTGCTACTTTAGGAGAATTAGTGAAAAAGGGAAAGGACAAAGAGTTACGTCGCTGCTTCGAAGGAACAGGAGGCTCAAGCATACCACTACCAGATCGTCCAAAAAAGGACTCTCTTCTGGCCATCTGTAGGAAACCATGGTAACAAAAAAATCACATGATGTAAATAAAGCAAAAAACAAGGAAAACAGTCAAGTTATAAAGAACAGCTACTGTTAAAAGTCAGAACAATGTTAGTGTATCTCTCTCTGGTTAGAGAACATCACAATTATAGATCAATAGTAAATTTACTAAAGTATAGTGTTGTGACAATTATCTCTGGTTAGAGAACATCCCAATTATAAATTTTCTCAATAGTTTGTGAAATGTACTAAGATATAATAATGTCCCACATCGTTGTAACTTACATCTAAGATTATGATTGATTGATTATTGGTTGCTTAATGTCACATTGGTGAAAAATAGGCTATATCATGACCATTATCTCTAATTATTGAATACTTATCATTGAAATTTATTAATCAAATACAGGAGTTTGGTGAGAAGTAATTAATCTATCACTTATTAAGTTATTATCTTGCTTTGACTCAAAAATATGTGACTTGTTGTCCTGCTTTTGTAGTGCGGTCAAGATTTTACAAATTTGCTTTTGTATTGAGTTCAAGGTTTCACCAAGTTGCTTTTGTAGGGAGTTCAAGATTTTACAAAGTAGCTTTTGTAGTGAGTTCAAGATTTTCCAAGTTACAGTCTGTATCAAACAACCAGATCAATCATTGGAAAGGGCATTTTATGTACAGGAAGACTGCAGCAAGTCACCAATATAAAGATTGTCTATGTTGTTCCCAATTTCGGTCAGGTGGTAAATTAGTAGTAATTTTCTCTTTGTAAATGTGTGATGTAGGACAAGATTCCTAATATTAATTTGCTTTTTATATCACTATATCTAATTTTATTCTAATTCTTTTAAAACTATATTTTACTTTTCCTGCATGTGAGCTTTTTTAATGATTAGAATATATGTTTTTTTTTTAAATTATAAAAATGTTTCAAGAAATTCTCCTTGATAGACATGAGTTTTCTTCCTTTCATTGAATGCGTATTTTTGAGTAACAGCACTTTTTTATTCCAAATTTCCTTCATAAAGATTTCTTATTATTTATTTCAAATTCAATGTAACATCATATATTTGAAATTACAACTAGTAATGTACTATATTAGTCAGAACCAAGAGCTTATGAAAGCATTTATTTGCCTCGTACTTCAAAAAATAGTATGTACTTAAGACATTAACTATATAAATCTATAACAAAATCATACAGGTTTTCAAATGATAAAATCCTGATGCTTCCAAATAAACACGTATTTATTATAAAAGTTAATTTCAGTTTGGAATGAATATGACAATATCTTATTTTTTACTTCATACCATTGTATAGGTATACCATATATGATCATAATATCATATTTGTATCATGCTCTACGGCGTGCAGTATATATATATAAAAACATGCTTAACTTATCAGTTAGAGTCTAAATACAAAGTTCTAAAGCCTACTATTGTTGATTAATATTGATTTTTATTTTTCATATTGCAAGAAACAGGAGTCTATCAAAATTTGGCCAGATTTTGAAGTTTTTGATCTCTGAATCGTTAGAAGACTTTTCCTTTTTTGATCTTCAGATTATTAAAATCTTATTAACCGTTACTCTTGGACATAATTGTTTTCTCTTAAATTCCTTTCTTGAACCTCCTATGTAAATGTGATGGCTGATATCTGATCTTATAATTCGAGGTAATAGTAAATGAACAGGAAAACAAATAGAAACCATTTCAAGTCTCTATCCACTGATCACCTGATACTATGTAATTTCTTCACATCTGGACATATATTTCCGTAATTGGAAAATTCTTACTTTCTTGTAAGATTGACAGAAATTTTGTGGTGTGAATGACAAATCAATACGTGATTAAGACCTATAATCTGCCGTCTGTTCAATTAACGGCTGATATACTGACGACATTGGATTATTGGGTTACTGCACGGAACGTACTTTGATAAAACAATATTTTCATAAAACTTTTATCAATAACCTAGCTTACCTATAAAGTATTTCCTATTTGTTTCATTTAGTTGTTTTAACTTTTATTATTTACCATTATTTCAATCATGTTTAATTTGAAGAAATTATTCATGGAAGCCTGTGTTTTATTTAAGATTTTACCACGGGAAGCCTGTGTTTTATTTAAGATTTTACCACAGGAAGCTGTGTTTTATTTAAGATTTTACCACGGGAAGCCGTGTTTTATTTAAGATTTTACCACGGGAAGCCGTGTTTTATTTAAGATTTTACCACGGGAAGCCTGTGTTTTATTTAAGATTTTACCACGGGAAGCCTGTGTTTTATTTAAGATTTTACCACGGGAAGCTGTGTTTTATTTAAGATTTTACCACGGGAAGCCGTGTTTTATTTAAGATTTTACCACGGGAAGCCGTGTTTTATTTAAGATTTTACCACGGGAAGCTTGTGTTTTATTTAAGATTTTACCACGGGAAGCCTGTGTTTTATTTAAGATTTTACCACGGGAAGCCGTGTTTTATTTAAGATTTTACCACAGGAAGCCTGTGTTTTATGTAAGATTTTGACACGGGAAGCCTGTGTTTTATTTAAGAATTTACCACAAGAAGGCTTTATTTTCATTAAAACTCCACCCTGAGTTTGACGCCAACAAATCGAGGGAATAAACCTTCTATTATTACTTTTCTAAAAATAGTCTTTTTAAAAGAGCAATGAATCATTCGTATAAGTGTAAAACAATATACAGTTTGTATATAAGCCTGATATATATCAAAAGTAAGTATAAATGGAAATAAAAAGAGATTGAGAACATTGTGTAATCAAACGCACCTTACTGTAGTTGCACTTTTATGATTAATGAGAAATTAATAATTGCAGAATATTTTAATATCATCTCAGAGATACACGATTACACTTTTCTTATCACTTTTATTTACATAAAGGTGAAAATCTAAAATCAATTTTATGCATTAATCTATTTTTAAAGAAAAAAATGTATTTAAAAATTTGTAAAGCTGTTTTGTATTGTAAGTTCTGAAAAGTTAACTATCTATTAAAAGTTTGTATTGTTGAACTTTAATCTTCATATTAAAAAGTTTCACAAGTGGCAAGAATAACAAGCCAAACAAGACTTCTATCATAAACTAATCTGCTTATAGAAAAGATTTACAGTTTTCAACAAAGAAATTTTAATACTAACAGTGAAATTCCTATTCGTTTTCACTTATAATTTTAAATTGTAGGTGTGTATAAACAATCAAGAAAAAGTTTAGAGTAAAATATGATCAGACAGGACTATGTATTCAGAATATATTAAATCTGAAGAAATTATTACCAAACTTTGAAACGGTGTGAATGAAACCTTCAAATATACAAACTTATTTAAAAAAGTAGAACCAAGACCAATGTAAATCTCAGTCTCTGCATCCTTAACACATTGAACTCAGAGGTGGGAATATTATATCATAAATTCATAATTATTAACCAAAAGAGTCCAAATCTCAAAATGTCAGAAACCAAAATTATACCTTCATTTCCCTTGTAAACAAAATATTAGAAGCTGTCAGAAATTTAAATTTAAACGTTTACCCTACCCAAGGTCTTCATTGTATATACTGCCATTGCAAAGCTAGTCTTTACTAAAACAACTTATACAAGATTGCTGAGTAAAATATAGTGCATGGGGAAATGCCCAATTTACAAATTTTATATATAAATTAAGCAAATAAAATTCTCAACTTCATTATATAATAACTATAGATATATCTCATTCCATCCACATAAATATAGAAATGTCTGTCCACCTACAAGACTAATGAAATGCCTGACTCTATGTGTTTAGCAAATGAGATGACAGACATTTGTTTCACTGGAACAATTGAAATTCCATGTAACCAGTCCATAACGGGTCTTTCAATAAATACCTCTATACTACACCAACACCCAACACTGTGCAGTTTATATTTTCAAATCTAATCCCTCAAAAAAAGCTTTTACATGCAGTTACACATTGTGTTTTTGATTGGACCTTACCGATGATTTTGATCCCTTAGATATAGATCCAGTTTTACTGCCACCAGACTGTTTGGATGATGAGCTCTTCCCAAAAACTCCATCTGACTCCTTTTCTGTAACGACAAATAATTTTTATTGTAAAATAAGTAAACGTTTCAGACATATTTTTTAAAACTACCTACAAAAACAAATTATACAATTATTGAACAATTATCAACAAATGATTGTCATAGTGACAAATAGACCAACAAACTTTACTCCTGCCATTGAACATTTTATAATATATTTCTGCCTTAAATTTCAAAGTAAGATTTACATGAAAACTCCAATGATGGAGATAATCTTTAACATGTGAAAAAAACTCTATTTTCTGATTTCACTAAAAATGTCTCAATATACTGAATTCACTGAAAGCTCCTCTATATTCTGAATTCACTGAAAGCTCCTCTATATTCTGAATTCACTGTAAGCTCCTCTATATTCTGAATTCACCTATATTTAAGATATATGACAAAACACTCCTAAGTGATATCTTCATATCATCAAAGAGCTTTTATTTTTTACAATGAATTCATAATTTTGTGGTTTTGCAGTCATATTGCACTGTGTTTCATAAGAGAATATATTGCAAGTAACCTTTTATGCTAGAGGTATAGGGGGAGGGTTGAGATATCAAAAAACATGTTTAACCCCGCCGCATTTTTGCGCCTGTCCCAAGTCAGGAGCCTCTGGCCTTTGTTGGTCTTGAATCATTTTTAATTATAGTTTCCTGTGTATAATTTGGAGTTTAGTATGACGTCCATTATCACTGAACTAGTATACATATTTGTTTAGGGGCCAGCTGAAGGACGCCTCCGGGTGCGGGAGTTTCTCGCTGCATTGAAGACCCATTGGTGGCCTTCGGCTGTTGTCTGCTCTATGGTAGGGTCGTTGTCTCTTTGACACATTCCCCATTTCCATTCTCAATTTTATTTTATAAATGATTATACAAGAAATATCCATTTCAATACAGATCCTGTGTCCATTGGTAGGCTTTGCTCACAATAAAACATGTACTTAAAAGGCTTAATAATCTGTGTGGCTTTCAATTTTGATCAGGTTGTAAATTGATAGTAATTTTCTCTTTTGCAAGTGATGAAGGACACTGGTCATGTATTTTAGAACACATTGTAGTTCATTATGACTGGTCATGTATTTAAGAACACATTGCAGTTCATTATGACTGGTCATGTATTTTACAACACATTGTAGTTCATTATGACTGGTCATGTATTTTACAACACATTGTAGTTCATTATGACTGGTCATGTATTTTACAACACATTGCAGTTCATTATGACTGGTCATGTATTTTACAATAGTTCATTGCATCTTTAACACAAAAAGTTGTCCAATGTTTACTGTTCAAATGGTCGGATTCAGAAATCTAAACTCAGGTCAACCAATCAGACTCAGGTAAACCAATGGTCAGACTTAAGTAAACCAATGGTCAGACTTAAGTAAACCAATGGTCAGACTTAAGTAAACCAATGGTCAGACTTAAGTAAACCAATGGTCAGACTTTAGTAAACCAATGGTCAGACTTAAGTAAACCATTGGTCAAACTCAGGTCAACCATTGGTCTGAGGATTCAAACTTAACATTCACAAACATTTTCAGCAACTCTTCAAGATCTAATGTTTCATAATTTATTTTCTCAATATAAGTAATAAAAAATAAGAGTAATTCAAAAATTGCCTTGTAAGGTAAGTGTGATCAAAATACTGTATATCATATTACCTTGGCAAACAGCTATGATATAGCTAATATTTTATCTCAAATTTGTTTAATCCTTGAGATAAAAATTTGTCAGTGTCGTGATAAATTTACAATGTTTACACATCAATACCTTTTCAACAAATGATAATGAAATTCTAAATTTCAACTGAAAATCTTAAAAACTTCTTAAGTGAATTATTTATAACAATAGATGGGTAACGAAGTACACTCTGATAGAAGCTAGCAGAATCAGAACGCACCCAAATAAAATGGAGGGCACCCTGATAGTAACTGAATCAGAACGCAACAAAATAAAACTGTCAAATAAATGTCTAAGGGTTTTAAATTGTCAACTATGTCTATTTACCAAACTTTTCCTTGTTCAAACTTTAAACTTTTTCAATAAATTTAAACTTGCAATAGTGAGATATTCTTTTGATAAGGCTCAGGTCAAAGGAATATTTAAATCAAAATATGACAAAGGGATTCAATATCCTAAGTTCTACTAAATTGTATCTCTTTGTACATATGGACAATGAACAATTGGATATATTTTTATCACCAGTTTCATTACTGTAGTGTCTTGTCTGGCTTAATTTTTATATTACGTCAAACAAGAATGCATGCATTGTCATGCTAAGCATACCCTCATGATTCAATTAAGTATAAAAAAAAATAGGAAGTTCTACAGATCCATCAAGCACACCCAATTTACAACTCATCACCGTTATGCTGCTGACCTAATATAATGGGCCTCTGGTTTCAGTATGAAGTAACAACCAGTGTTTTTAATATTTTGCAATATATATATAATAGCCTCAGAATTTTATAAGGAAGAAACCATCGGTATTTTGCACTTCATATAGCAATGATAAGTCCTCCTTTTCATTCAGAACTTCATATTTAATGATTATATCATGAAAGAAAATAGGTTTTAAAGTATAAAATTTGGGATATTCCGATACTACATTGTAATATGGATCTGAAATGCACACCTGTGTAGTCCTCGTCTGTTGCTCAGGACTTAAATTGATTCTAGGTAAAAAAAATCTATTTTGAATTGAAAATAAGGTAACAGGTATTTGGTGTACATGTATTTATAACAGCTATTTGTAGTGCATCAAATTATCTAGATGAAAATCACATTCAACGTTCAAAACCTGAGCTTTTTCAAACCAAATACTAATTTCTGCCTATTTGTGGTTCTCCATGAAGGATGTGATAATCTAGAGTAGAAGAGAGGTGGAAGATAAGGGACATTTAAACTCATCACAAGTCCAAGACAAACTGAAAAAGCAATGACAAAAAACGAAAAATGACCAAAAGACGGACAACAATCTTCAAAACACAACATAGAAAAGTAAAGACTGAGCAGCACAAACCCCCACTAAAAACCGGGGGTGATCTCAGGTGCTCTGGAAAGGTAAGCATCCTGCTCCACAGAAACTGTTGAACTGGACCCAGTCAGAAAAGTACTTTCAGTAGGATGACAGCACTAGAGTCCTAAAATTGCTCATTCAATCAAGTCTTTGTTGTATGAATCAATATCTCGAAAGCACTGTTTTTTTGTAAATAAAGTACATTTGTATGTGACAAATGTATTTTCAGAAAATAACATTTGCTTATATATTCAAAAGCTATACTGTTTTTCTTCCATAGAATGTCAACATTAAACATGTTAAATATTCTAGCAAGTTTATATGATATTCACAAAAGGCATATGTTTGACAAATAATTGTTTAAGATATTAAGTGTATATTGCACACTTTCAGTTTCATAAAAACAGGGAAATAAACATTTTTGAACACAAATCTATATTATGTGTGTGCAGTATTAGTGATTTTGGTTAACCCACAAAACTGTACAAAAGTGCTGACTATAAATTCCAGATAGTACTAGAAATACTTTTTCATGTCGTAGAAAGATTGCCAAGTCAGTATTAAATAAAGGTTATCTATGACCCAAGGTACTAATTTGTCATGTTAAACCTACTGAACAAACAAAACTTTGTTCATCGATCTTTTAATACTTCATAAAACTTTAATTAGCTTTACAAAATCGTGGAATAGGATATAGGTGTCCATGACCGAGAGTGAGTGTGGAAAATTTAGCACTATCAGTGGTATGAAAGCGTTCAAAGATTTGAAAGCAAGCAGAGATAAATATATTTCCATTGTAAGTCTGTGGACTACACTTGAGTGTCCATGAACTGTGAGAGCATTATGTGAATATTGTGTTCATCACATGATAGAAGAAAAATAAACCTTAATACCACTTGAAAATATGCAAAACTTAGATATGAGAAAAATCAACTTAACCTAAATAGCACATAACTATTTATCTTAGAAATTGAATACCATCATCATTTTTTCTTCTTTTAAAGTAAAATAACCTAAAAATATTAAGACAACAGGCCTATCTACCGTATCTGAATATCAACTGGGGTATAACTGCATATTTATCTACTGCTTTTTCTTGTTAAGTAGATATATTGTGCTAGTGGTTATAATAGCTTTGTGGTTTGATGAAATCACCCTCGAACTCAATGCATGATGATGGTTTCATAAAAATATAGAATAATTCTATATCAAGAACATTTCGCTAAAAATCAAATACTTGATTAAAGTCTATTTGTCTTTCAATAAAGTAACTTCGTTCTTCAAATCAAAATGAGTCGATTTTAATTTATGCTTAAAAGTTCTTTTAAGTTAAATATTATCATCTCTAAGTTACCTTTAGGTTTGAAACCAAAAATGTCTTCTGTGACACTAAATCCTGGTCGAAATAAATCTGACTCTGACTTCCTGTTGGAACGAATAATATTCCTCTTTTTGTTTCTTTCAATTCTACTCATAGTGAAAACTTCTTATTTTTCCTTTAACGTTCCGTGTTTCTTATCATTATCTTACAGATCAGTTTCTATCTAAAAATGTACTTTTACAGGAACAGATATACACAAAATCACATTCTCCTTTGATAGACAAACTTCACACAAGTGTCAAGGCTAAATTTTCCGTCAAGGTTTAAAGTTTGTTTCTGGCAGTACGATAACTGTTCTTACAGCAGCTATAGTTATAAAGAATCAATGCATCCTCTAATTCAAACCAATTATTTATCCAAATATAAAATTATTAGTTTTAAGAAGTTGTTTCAGATAACATAATAAAAGTACAGATACACAAAATGAATGTTTTTTTTGAAACTGATTAAATCTTTTCACTACGAATGTCCAACTGTAAAGAAATCCATTTTATTAATTCAAATAGTATTGACCCACGCCAGCCTCAGTCAATAAACCTAAAAATCCACATTGTTTTAGAATTTCACAAATCCACGTCCTATTTATATTCCGTTG